ATCTACAATCTCTACCTCTCCCCCTGCATCTTCCTTTCTTCCCAGTCAAGTCTTACCAGGCTTCAAGCTCGCTTCAAAGCTCACATCAATGTCCCCTTTTCCACTGGTGTCCTGATTTTCTCTTCCCTCCCTTTCTTACGTCCAAATTCCTAGGACATTCTATCTTTTTATTTTGTCCACAATTTTAAAAAATGTTCTATCTTAAATTACAAACAATCGTTTACCTATATTATCTCCTACCCTTACCCCCTCAGTAAATTGTAATTCTAGTAGGGTAGGGACCCAATCTTATTCACCTTTACATTCTCAGATTCATCTATTCATTTATATAATCACCTATTTTCTATTTTACTTTGTGATACTTATTTCTTCTATACATTTATTCCTCATGCATGTATGCATTTATTTCATTTATTGATCACTTTTCAAACCTATAATTGTCATTTTTGAATTCTAATCTCCCTTTTGATTGGTGAGTAGTATTCCATTATACGGATGTACCACAGTATCCAATTTCGATTTTTCTGTAATCTTACATGCTTCTTAATTCTCTTTCAAATTAAAACTGAAAAATAAATGTAAAGCTTTTAACAGAATGAGCCTCATAGAAAATATAATAATATCAGACAATAAAATAAATTTTAAAACTTTCTTACTTATTTGAGGTAAAATAAAGTCAGGACCAAAACATACAACAAATGCTATGATTCTGGCTCTCTTCAAAAGCTCCCAAGTAAATATTTGTTAAACTCATAGTCTAAGAAGTTTGTTTTTTCCAATGTCTAACAGATTACTTCTTAAAAAGATAGTCAAATGTGATTTAACTTTCCACATAGAAGAGCATCCCTTTGAGATTTCTTACAGAATAACCTGTAATCCTTTAGTAATAAAAGTCACAAACTTTGACACTAAAATACCTTTCATTAATATTCTCAGAATTTAAAATTGTTGTTCATATGAACTTTTCTTATAAGAGCACTTGATCATCTCTGTGATAATACCTTTAGTGTATATAGAAAAATAATTTTATTCTATTTTCTGTAGTGAAGTTTCAATTATTAATATTTGTAAAGAAGACAAATAAGGTGGATGGCTGAAATGTAGCAACAATTCCAAATCACATTTAAATGAATAATTTCAACTTTTTCCCCAGCTAAGTAATTTACCTAAATTGTTAAGAAGGAAAATGATTGATTTGAATTTCATCTCCTTTCTACGTTTCTACAGATCCTGACGGAAATGAAATATAAAGTGTAAAAGTCAAGGTGATAAGGTGAGAAGCATGTCCTCAGATAACCCCTCAGCTGGGTAGTCAGGACACCTAGCTTAGTCAAGACCCAGTGGACTCAATAGAAACTGGCAATAGCCCGATTTACATATCTGATGTCTTAGATATGTAAATAAGTTTCCATTTGCCTTTGCCTGTTGTAGTAATACAAAAAGCTTCTTTGGTTCTGTCACATGAATATCTGCCAGTAGATCTTATTTCCTTGCCACAGCTTTGTACCTAAATGACTAGAGGACTTACTTAGATAAATGGTGGCATTACTTTATGCATTAGATATGTCCTCAACAGGGGTATGAGAAGTTGTCAGTTAAGATGAAAATCATTTATTTAAAATGAAAACTTATGGAAGGGGACAATAACATTTTTATTCAGACAATTAATTGTTCAACCTGTGTGAAAAAATTGTCCTTTCAGCTCTTTTCAACAGGAAATTTAACTAATTGCCTTAGATCATTGCAGAGTCAATGTAACTATTTAATGGTACTGAAAAGACAAGCTTGTATCACATCATGACTCATAAACCTTGCATGGATTCCAATTTTCTTCTGAATTATATCTAAACTTTTAGAACCATAGAACTTGGTATTTAGAAGTCACCTCAAGGACCATCTATCATCGACAATCCCATTTTATAGATGAAAAAACTGAGCCCCAAATTGATTTGCCTGAAGCCACCCAGCTAGTTAGTAAAATAGTCTAGAACCCAGGCATTCTTGAGGAGCAGACCTAAGCTATTAAGTTGGTCTGTGATAGTGATATTATTGCAAGATGATGATAAACATTTAATAAAGTAGAATTAATTCATCAAGTAAAGAATCATGAAAATACATTTTTTACCATGAGTGCTTCTTCCTCCAAGTCTAATTTTCAAAATGTATCAACCAACATAGATTTTTTTCTTATGAAACCTAGAAAGAAATGAACTTATTTGTGTCCACTGCTTTTTAGAGTTATCAGATTTGGAAAGTCAATCACTTAATATGCCAGTCAATAAAAAACCAATTGACTCTAGACCTATATTGTTTTCTCCCCTTAAAAAAAAGTGAAATTATTGATCTATCTCTTACCTTCCTTCTAATCAAAACACTGAGTTTTAGTTTTTCATTCTGTTGCGGCTAGTTTGTCCAGATTGTTTAAAATAAAATGAATTTTATTAAACTTGGCACATTTGAAAATCTGATTGCTGTTACATATATTTTTGCTAACCAGAATGAAG